AGTGGTTGACCTAGATGTACACCAAAGATCACAAAGAATTCTTTCCGCCGGCCAGGACAACATTGTTGGCGTCTGGTCGACAAACCCAAAAGACATGAACCTGGTGGAGCCTTTTGCAGCCACCTCCCTTGCATCTTCAGCGCTGAAAAAGAGAAGAAAGATGGCGCTCAAGGACCAGAGCGTCAAGCACAGAGCGCCCTTGTCGCTTTTGGAGGGACACTCGCAGCCCGTCGAAGGCGTTATTTTCGATGCTGCCGACCTGACGGTGGCCTACTCGGTCGCTCAGGACCACACCGTGAGAACATGGGACTTGGTGACCTCGAAATGTGTCGACACAAGATCCACGGGATTCTCGTTACTTTCTGTTTTGCAGTTGCCCGAGGTCAACTTGCTAGCTACGGGCTCCTCCGCCAGACACATCAACCTCCATGATCCCAGAACGCTGCTGGAGGCTACTGAACTCCACACCACCAAACTCTTGGGACACACCAATTTCGTGGTCAGCCTAGCAGCATGCCCAAACAACAAAAACATGTTTGCCTCGGGCTCCCACGACGGCACCGTGCGTGTGTGGGACATACGGTCCAACCAGTCATTGTACACTATCAAGAGAGACCTGGGAGAAGGCAAGGTGTTTGGAGTGGCCTGGGACCCGGAGATTGGCCTTGTCAGTGGTGGAGAGGACAAGAAGGTGCAGATCAACAAGGGCAACGATATTGCCAGGGACTAGGTTGGTGGATGCATACATACGTTAAAGATTCTATAGAGCGAGGTGTAGTTGATGCTATGCTGGGTTCTAGCCCTTTCTGGAGTTGCCCTGCTGGGAGGAGCTCCACATGGACAAGCCGTAGAAACCCTGCCACATGCTTTCTCGGTCGGTGATGTAGCCTACCACGGGATCCAGCGTTTCAAGGGTATTGACGACTTCGGTGTCCTTCCAGCCCATGCGTTTCCGTAGATGCTGGATTTCCTCGGCACTGAGCTCCACCTGGGCAGCCGTTCCGTACTTCAAGGGCCCCACGTTGATCCAGTAGCCGTTTTTCACTGGATTGCGCTTGGACGGAGTGGTAAGCTGGCTGATGACGTCTAGATAGTCCATGAAGTTCTCGGCGGTGTCCACGAAAAACACAGAAAGCACCACGACGTTCTTGAAGCGGTCCCTGTTGGGAATGGTGAAGTAGCGGAAATCGTCGAGAAGAAGATGTAGATTGGCTGGTTTCTCTGGCGTGGGTAGGCTCTTTTCACGGAACTGGGACAGCGTTTTCACGAAATTCAGGCACGAGTGGACGTACGGAAAGAACTTTGAGGTCTCTTTCTTCAGGTAGACGTACTGGTTGCATGCGTGCATCAAGCCTGAGAACTCCACAGCATAGACGGCACCAAAGTCCATAAAAGAGGCGACATCGTGAGCCACACGGCCTAGACCGGAGCCAGGAATAACCACACACGTATCAGCAGCCTCCTCTTTCGGTATAACTTTGGAAAGCTGGCTCTGCAAAAAGCTCAAAATGGGCTGTCTTTCCACTTCACCAACATCAGTCCAATCACGCACAAAATGGGTCAATGCCTCCACGACACGGTAATTCGTGCTGCTCGTATTCGGCAAGTTCTTCTCTGCATCAAGCAACGAGAAGTCCTTGTAAGTCAAGCCGTAGTTGTGCTTAGCGCAGTAGATCACATCGTCCATGATCCGCTGGTTCTTGTCGATACACCCGTCGATCTTCTTCAATTTCTGCGTGTAGCCGGCGTCCTCACACATCTTCTGCTGTCGCCACGAAAGCATCTTGAAAAGCCGGCTCCGGCGGGCATTGTAGTTCTTGCTGTTCTTCAGATAAGCGTCCAAGGACTTCATGGCAGATAGCAACTCGATTTTAGACGTTGCCGCCAAATTTTCGAAATTCCGGTGTTCCTCCGGGGCATTGGCATCGCCGCCGCTAAATAGAGCCACCTTCCGTCTCTGCAGCCGCTGAATCGCCAGTCTGACTGCTCGTTGGAAAACACTGCTTCTAGAGATCATGTTGGTGCTTACAAACACCGCAGCCAAAAGCGGCACCTGCGAGCGGACTAGCAAAAAAGATAGAAGTCCGTAAACAACAGCGAACAGCGCCAAGGCAGCTAGCACGATTTGGTAGTCTGGAAGGTGGTTCATCAACGTGAGGTTGAGCTGAAGAGTGAGACCTGCGTAGGAGGCCTGGAGGGTTGATAGTGGTTGTGGCGGATGGTGATGCAATGAGGTTTTGGGGTTTTGATGGAGATGGTGGTGTTTCTTGAGATAAAAAGGTTTTTCTTTTCTTTTTTATTTGAGGAGTATCGAAGTTTGTGGTGATATTTTGTGGTGATCTATGGGGAGCTGGTGTGGAGCTGAATATGCGATTCCCACATACCCAGCATAAAGCGGTCAAACCAGGTATTTGATTTTTTTTTTTTTTTTTTTTTTTAGCTTCAAAGGCACTTCAACTTAAGAATTACTTAAACGAATAAAACCGTCCCCAATCCACTTTCAATGCCTGAAATGCCTCTGCTGGACCCTGGTCGACCCGCGACATTGTCGCACCGATTGCAACGCTCCATTAGGCAAAGCGGTGAAACACCTTCGAAACATAAAAGGCAGCCTGATCCCACCACTAATTCTCCAAAATGCTTTGCGACATTATGTACTCTGACGAGTACAAGGAGGTGATGGACAAGCTACGGACCTTTCTCGAGCAAAAGACATACAATGAGGAGGCACTTGCATTGACCGAATCAGCCTTGGAGCTTCTAGCTGCTCACTACACAACGTGGCAGTACAGATTCACCATCGTCAAGGAAATAAAAAGAGACTTGTTTGAGGAGCTTGACTGGTGTGAGCTCATTGCGTTGGAAAACGAGAAGAACTACCAGATCTGGCACTACCGCCAGTTGATCATCGAGGAGATCTTGAAAGACGAGGAATTGGCAAAGAAGTTCAACTTCCACCGGGAGTATCCTATATTGAGCGCAATGCTTCAGGAAGACAGTAAGAACCATCACGTGTGGTCGTACAGAAAGTGGTTTGTGGAGCGGTTTCTGCTTCATGAGGCTTTGGAGGAGAATGCCTTTGTGGAAAGCATGCTAGAGACAGATTTGCGGAACAACAGCGCCTGGACCCACCGGTTCTATCTTAAATTTGGCCATGACGACTGGAAGAAGAATGTCGAGCTGGAAATCGCCTATGCCAAGCTGAAGATCGAGATATGTCCCCAGAACCCTTCGAGTTGGAACTACTTGAGGGGCATCTACAGAAAAGCAAAGGGCGATATTGGGGAATTGAGGTCTTTCTGCGAACCATTGGCCGATACGAGTGCCAAAGAAATCAAAAGCTCTTTTGCCTTGGAAGCGTTGGCTGACATTGATAAGGCAGCTGGAAACAAGGATGCAGCTGCAGAAGCGTACCGTTTATTGGCTGAGGTGTACGATCCGATCAGAAAGAACTACTGGACGTATGTCCAGAAGACGCTTTGACGAAGTAATGAATAAACAGAACTCAGGATGAGAAAGCAGGATTTGAGGACCCTGATGAGCAGAACCCGATAAATCTTGACAAATGGATGAACAGAGAGGCACTGCTGCATGAACCGAGTCGGGAGAATTTGACCGAAATTATTTTGGAGTTCTTTTGGGGGGTTTTTCGGTATTTAGTTATATCCGATCGGATTGCAGGCCGCCTTCAGAAGGGGTCTAGGGGTTTGCTCGGCATGTGGCTTGATTGTTAGAACTGGGCGGATTTCATGTATAAATAACGTACCGAAGGTTTTTGAGGTGGCCTGGTGTTAATGCTTTTTTGTATGAGGTCATTCTCACTTTCTCATCGACCAAGCATGTTTTCAGCATCGATAAGTATGGAGCTTTTTCACCACTCCTCTGAATTCAAGTAGGTTAACTTTCAGGTGGAATTTAGATGTAGGGGGCTGATTCGGCATGTCCTTCCTCTACCATATAAGCGAGGTAGATCGCTTGACCCGGGCAGATAGCACCAAGGTTGTTCTAACAACTCTTTCAGAAGAAAAACTTGAAATCAAGAAATCACAAAAATGTTTGCCAAAAAATGATCGAGAAAGTCTCATTTATATAAGTATCACCCAAAACCTCGCCTCGTTTAGTGTCAGTTTCAGCCGCACCTCGACCGGGATCAGTGGCTAATTCAGCCTAATTATGCATGCGTATTCCTTAGGGGGTCCATGAATGAAAAATAAAAGTTCAAGCCGGGGAAGAAAGCAGATCCATGCACTGGTTTATTCCGGTGGTTGGGGTAGACGACCGGAAGTGAAGATCCCATTATCTGGGGCTACAATGTGCTGGATTGAGCTTGTGACTAGATTTTGAGAAGGTGCTCATTTCATGTATTTATAGAGTGAAGTATTTCTTGAAGTTCTGATATAAGGGAGTTTTCTTTTTTATTTTCTTGGTGACTTTCTTCTTCCTTCTTCAATTGCATCAATCGAATACGAGAATCCGTAGCATGTAGAGAATAGGGAGTACTGTAGAATTTCAATGGTAGGTATGCCGCTAGATAGGTAATATAGGTATGTAGGTAGGCCGAATTTGCATTTCCTTCCTTTACCCGATAGGCGAGGTAGATCGCTGCATTCGAGGAAGTATGCACCAATTCCCCAGAAGACATGAAGTTCAAGGAATTTTCATCATGGTAGGCATAGTAACAGAAAGACAAAAGTGATTTTAAAACCTTCGCTACTACATCTCTGTTGAAAACTATTTCAAAGCAGTAGCACCTTAACCTGACGGGAACAGAGCTTAATAGGTATTGCATGCGTTTGTCTAGGGGTTTCCTTAATAACTATTTAAACAGGGGTACGCAAGCAGATCCATGCAATTTGATGCATACTTTCCGATGGTCGGGGTAGCACCACCGGAAGTGAAGACCCAAGCATTTGCAGATGACTCCTTCTAAAACTGACTATAAAAGGGGGGCTTTCCCCAAAGAGATTTTTTTTATAAGACATCACGCTTCCATTCAAAAAATGGTCTCTGGCTCTTGGTTGAAATACCCAAAGGCGTTGGAGAACGCTAGCTTTGGGTTCACGTCTGTTTGTGCCTATGCCCTCTCCGTCTTTACAATTTTATTTGCCCATGGATACCTCATCCTGCTTTTGTTTCCTTTCAATGCCATGTTTACCGGAACACAAAGCAATCATCTCAACTTCCTCCCAAAGCTGGCGAGAGAAAATTACGATGCTGTTATTAGAAGCCAGGTTGAAATTGAAGTTCAGACATTACTTCAGGAAAAAAATGAGAAAGTCGCTAATATAGTTTCTGAAACGCTCGAAAAAACTTTAAACAAGAGTCGTGATGCCCTGATCCTTCATTTTTCTGAGGCTTCGAAAGAGCAGTTGCAGCATTTCGAAAGCGTACTCGGCTGCAAATCTCATGACTTTTGCAATGAAGCTTCTTCTGACGAAGGGTCCATCCTCGGCACTGAGGATGTGGATATGCTTGACTCCAATGACAAAGAAGCTCGGCACAAGCTCACAGAGGAAGCTAAGGCTACTTTTAGCCTGAACATGAAAAATATGCTAGTACCGATGATGAAGCAATTACTGAATGAGATGTCAGAAGAATGGGAAAAGTCGTACAAAGAGGTATTGGATCAGGTACTCGAAGAATATCACTCTGAGGGTGCCGAAATTGTTGGTCGAGCTTTAGATAAGGCAAGAAAGAGGATGCTATTTCACCACGCCCTAGATTACCCGTGGCCACAACCACAATACGTTGAGACTGCCAAGTGTGTGATTTTGCTACTCTTTACTCACGATGTGCTGTTTTTCGTTCTATTTCACAGAAGTAAAGCCCACGCTATTCTTTTTTGTTGTACCAGTGCGCTTTATTATTTGGAGACTTTGAGCACCATTTTCTTGTTGGTGTGGGCCAGCTTTAAGTATTATAACCACAACGTAGGAGGACCTTACAGTTTCTATACATTTTACTTGTTTGGTGCCGCTGCTTCTTACTACGTCACGTTTTTAGGGTTGACGGAGGAAAAAGGAGATTCTGATCTGAGACTCGCCGGTGCTCCAGACAATCAGGAAAATGATTGTCAACCTGATGTTGGTAGGAAACAACTCATTGAGCCCGTTAAAAAGAATGTCGAAAGGAGATTGAATGAAATCAAAAAAGATGAAGTGTTCCCTGTTAGTGGCAAGAAGGAGAATCGGAGCCTCGAAAAACAGACGGATGCCAACGAGCCTGACGCACGCTTGGGAGTGGTAGATGAGATTAACAGTCAGGCCACCGAAGAGTCAGAGCAAGCGCAAAAGCTGGAAGAATTTAAAGGTAATGAGAAGGATGTTGTGCGGAGTTGTTCAGCTGGAGAAGCCTTTTATTAAACTACATCCAGATATAACAGAATTTTATTCTGCGCATATTGAAGTGGGAGAACCTCTACAGTGGCTGAAGGTTTGACTCAATTGAAGAATGAATTAAGTACTTGTTCTTTTTGATTGAGAGTTTGTTTTTTATTTGTTGTTTGCTTTTTAATTGTTGTTTGCTTTTTAATTGTTGTTTGTTTTTTAAGAAAAAAATTCCGAGAAAAGGGAAAGAAAAAATAGAGAGTATACGTTGTTTTATCCTAATCTAATCCGAGATGTAGTATTCTCAATTCCATGTGTTGTTAGTCTGAAGGGCTTAGAAGAGTTACATCTGTAACTTGAAAGACAAATATATAGCCCAGCTAACTAACGGAGTTGAATTGAATTCTTGACCGTCAGCCAGGAATGGTCAGCTATGTTAGAGCAAGTGCCCTAACTTGAAGGGTATTTTTGGGCTGCAAGATTGAGGAAACCTCCTTGGACCTAGCAGATATTTCTCGGTATTCAAGATTGCCATGTTCGCTTTCTTTCTACTATCCAAAGTTCAAAACTGCCAATAGATGGTTCATTTTGAAGTGAAATCGCTGATTCCGTAATGAGGCTGCATCACACTAGATTTTCTATTCTATATAAAAGCTCTCTACCTCGCTGAGGTATAGGTCGACTTGACTGGATAGTTGATGAATAGTAGAGGATCCGTCCTCTTTTGCTTCAAGGCTGAATTTGAGTTGATAACCTTCGTGAGATGTTTTTGAATGAAGAGATGGTTGGCCACAAATATTGATAATGAGATAATCCACAGGATTTTGAAAGACATAGTTAAGCCCCTTTGGGGTTCTTGTGACAGTTGTTGCAATTTTATCAAAAGAAAGTTTGAATGTGAATAATTCTTGCTCTGCAATTCGACCTTGAGGCGTAAGATGAATTGTTTGTTTAGCGATTTGGACAACCAAGTTCTGAAAGCTGGAGTGAGTATGTGGAGCATCGATGCTGAATTTAAGGATCCGCCCAAAATATAATTTAGGGCTAGCCAAAAGAGGCTGGTCTTGAAGTGCTCTGATGTAATAGTTTCCCGAGGATGATTCATAATTGTTGGCAAACTTTTCTTCATCAAAAACGTGAAAGCTCTTCGATAGAGGGAATGATACTTCACGATCGAAGGAAAAACCGCATGTGCTCTTCAATTTCCAGAATCCATTAGATGCAACCAAAGCAAAATCATCGGGCTTCTCATCTGCTTCATTATCATCAATCTTTTGAGTGTTTTGGGAAATACTCAGCTTGGAAGAGTTGGCGGGGCTGGAAGAATAAATTGTAGTGATCATAACCACATTATCTCGTTGGCACAGAATACAAGTTTGGTGACCCAAGCAATTGTCAATCTTTGAGACTTCCTCAAGCACATGTTCTGAAACATTCTGCACAATCATGGTGTCCTTTGGGAACTGGTCAATCAATACCACATCTTGCACCTTGCCTACTTTTGAAACTGCCGTTTTCTCGGATAGCTCCGTCTCCATAGCGACTTCTATATCTAACTGAGTGGAGAGACTTGATGAACAGGGCTTTTCAGCCAGAGAACACTCAAGTTTGAGGTCAAGTTCAATCAGATATGCCCGAGTGCAGCCATTTGATAGAAAGGTGGGTCCTAGGTTTGGAAGGTCACAATTGAAGACTGATTTATCGAGCACTGATACATACCCATCAGCTGTTTTAACAAATTGCAGTAGGGGGAGCTTGATATGGATATCTGAATCTTTCAAAACCCGCATTCTGGATTCTTTGACGACTCCATAGCTCCCTTGTTGCAACACCTTAAACTGAAGATTCTCCACGAGAGTGACAGTTACATGCTTTATACAAACATCACTATCACAAGAACACAAAGAGGCACTCTCCTGTCTGATTTGTAATTCCAAAAACCTTTTGATGCTTGAACCACTCCTCACAATATTGCAGGGATGCATCAACTTGTGTGTCTTGGGTGCCTTGTAGATCGCTATTGCTTTACAATTGATGGGACCGCCGTAAATCTTTATCTCCTCCTGGGAATCTATGGCATCATACCACTCTTCGGGCTCCTCATGGGACAAACCAACACCGAGAGGTATTTTGATATCGCCAACTTGAAGACATCGTACACCGACTGACGCTCTGTAACCCCAACATTCCACCCATTTTTTTGGCACTACCAGAAGTTGGTGCAACTGAATAAACAAGAACACAATTCGGCCACGGCCGTCCTTGAGATTAGGGAATTGTCCGAATCTCAAAACACCTTCAGCAATCTTAGCACGGTCCATGGAATGTGCTTTGAGTGAAATGGACCTCGCCTTATTTAGCTGCAATTCACTAGCGGTCCAAACATTGCCCTGTATTGTAAATGTGTGTGTCTCATGGGAGACGTAATTTGAAGAGTTCTTCTCAACTTCGTCTGCAATTGCTCTGGAGAGAGACTTGGGCCATTCGTTTTTTTCAATGAAACACAAGGTATCGTAGGTCATATTTGCGGTTACCATAGTGGATTATTACGGGTTTATATTTCATCTGATGTTTGCCGAAACGTTGGATTATTTTACACTTTTTGATTGACCGTATCAGTGGTCAGCGGTCTCACCAACATAACCTTGCATTTAAAATAATAAGAGGGATCTTTTGATCATCAGCTCGTTGAATTATTTGTTGTATTCAGAACGGACTGAAGTCGTTGATCAATTATCAATGATCATGGCCACGATCGTTTTTAAGGTTAATGAGATAAAAGGTTCGAATCATGGTTCAGCTCAAAAATGAAGCGGTTTACCTTTAGAGCCAATTGAGGTCACTTTGTAGTACAGTATGATGCATGATGTGTGCAATAGAATGATGCCCTTTGCACCTAGATGCGTGTAGTCCTTGAACCAGCAATGCAACTACGGACGCAATGGAGTGACTGAACTTCGAAAATTATGATTATTTTAAAAACCAATTTTATTTCGATCAATGAAGAGTTTTTTATGGTGAAGAGCACGCTACTGGTGGCCCGAGCAGTTATCAATCTTCCTCAAGCATATTCGCCGACACACTTTGCACAACCAGGGTGTCCTCTGTAAGTTTATTTTTAATTGAGAAGCCATAAATTGCATAAATCACAAGAAGCAGCAAACATGCTCAATTGGATGCAAATGTCGAACGGCAGAACGCTCTATCTCTGCCAAAAATCAACCATGTCAGCTCACAAGGAAACATTAACTGATAACGCAAGCAGTCCACAAAAAAATACTGGATCCTACAAATGCAAATAAGTCCCCAACACTGAATTTGGTAGAAAAATGAGCGTCAATTTATGTAGAATATTTTAATATGCAATTAGAATCTCTCCCATGATGATCTCTCTGAACTACTTCTTATGAGGAGATGTTACCCAACAAGACATCAATCCATGTCGTATTCAAGCAGTAAACACCGTTTATACGTGAGTTGCTACTCTCATTGCTTATCTCTTGATATGAAAGCTATCAATCTCACCAATGTATACATTGATAGCATGGGACACCATGACTCTAGGCGAATCCTCTTCTTCTGTTTCAATTTCAATGCTGAATCTGAGCTGATACTCTCTGTGGAGAGAATTTGAGTGAAGCGATGGCTCAAGATCATGGGGAATTTTACACAAATTCACATCATTTCGAAAGTCGAAAACGCCCACGTCATTTGGTTTGTGAGTTAGAGTGTAGTCCTGTTGAGGATCGGGTATTTCTATCACGTTGGTTTCGATTGTCCAATCCTGTGGGGTCATTCGCAAGGTCCTTTGAAAAATTTCAACCTTCCAACAGTAGAAGCCATAAACTGTATCCGTGGTGTGTGGACCCTCTATAATGAACTTAACACTAGGACCAATACACATCCCAGGGCTCAAAAAAAGATCATCCTCGTGAAGTACTTTGGAAGTGAACTGATTCGGCCACTCCTTGATGTGAGTAGATTCAAAACCCTCAATAATATGAAAACACTTTGACAAAGGCAAAGAGAGCTGATGATCGGCCTTACCGGATGCATATCTTGTTTTGTTCCTCAACTTCCACAACCCATTGGAGGCCACCAAACCCAAGTCATCCACTCTCTGGGTAAGATCATCCTCGTCCTCCTCTTCGTCGTCAGTTGCATAACTGAGTGAGCTTGATGAATAAATCGTTGTGACAGCGGTCACAGTGTATTTCTGGCACAGGACACACGTTTGGTGGCCCAAACAATCCTCCACGTTTGATAATTTCTCCAGCACATAATCCACTATGTTTGGGACAAGATTTTCTGTCCTGGTAAGCAGGTCAACAAAAACTAAATCTTGTGCCTTGTACACCTTCGCTTTTGCGGTCTTCTCCGAAGAATCAAACTCCGAACCAATTTCTATATCCAACAGAGTGTGAATATTTGCTGAACATGGCTTTTCTCCTCGACACTCAGCCTGAAGGTCGAACTCGAGCCGGTATGTTCGACTGCAAGTGTCGGAGTGAAAGGTTGGTCCAAGGTTTGGAAGATCGCAGTCAAAGAGCGAAGCTTCGAGCAAACACACAAAACCATCAGCCGAGTTGGTGAATAGTTGCGGGCTGCAGTCAAAATCTGAATCTGAATCTTTCAAAAGGAGCCTTCTGGTTTCTTCGGCGACTCCATTGACAAATTTTTTTGGCTTAAACTGAAGATGCTCCACGAGAGTGACGGTGACATGCTTTATAGAAACATCACTATCACAAGAGCACAAAGTGGCACTCTCCTGTCTGATCTGTAAACTCAAAAAATCATTGATGTTTGAACCACTTCTCACAATGTTGCAGGACAGCAAGAGATTATATTCATCGGGTGGAATGTAGCTCGCAACAGCTTGTAGGTTGATGGAATTTTTGTGTCTCTCTTCAAGCTCATTGCCGAACTCCGAAGCATTCTTCAACTCGATATAATCATCCTGAGACTCCAATTCTTCTTTCGAATTGTCTCGCCCCTCATAGGAAAAGCTGACATCAAGAGGCATTTTGAATTCTCCCACTTGGAGAAGACGTACACAGATGAGAGCATCCTCACCCCACGAATCAAACCATTGTGATGAAATCATCAGAAGTTGGTGCAAATACATGAACGAATACACAATCCGACCTTGGCCATCATCAAGTTTGGGCCACAGCCCGAACTTCAGAACACCTTCAGACTTTTTGACATCGTTTAAGGGATATTCTTTACGAGACAAAGTCTTAAAATCCTGAACCTGCAACGAACTGGCAGTCCAGGTTTCGTTGTCGATTTCGAATGTGTGTGTATCATATGATATGTAATCACTATCTTTCAAAGTGGCAATTGCACTAGAAAGAGATTCGGGCGATTTTTGTCTTTCAATGAAATATAAGGTGCAATCAGTCATGGTTTCGATGAAGCCTCACGAAACGGGCGGTATTTATATGGGTGCGATTGATATCCTTATGATGATTATACACCTCAGGAAATATAATCACAATAATCATGACATGCTAATTACTAAATCGGGCTTGACTTGCATTACTTTAGCAAGCATGATGATGAAGCTGCTGACCTGTATTATTTGATAACCCGAATGAGCTTCGCAGCACCTCAGGAAGCAGAAGGAAGTGTAAGAAAATATTGAAATGCTTTCAATGGCACCGAAAATAGCAATCACTTAATCAGAGCTTTGATCACGGGGATAACAAGTTGTGAAAAAGATTCTTCAAAAGGTGTGAATTAATTTGAAAATACCACTGCTTTGAAGGTAAGGTCTAGCGCAGCATGCATTAGGCTGCAAAATATTCTCGACAAAATTATCAGCCTGAACCAACGAGGCTTTATCAAGAATAGAAACATCTACAATAAGACAATCGAGTTCTTTTCCGTGATTCCATTGGTGAAGACTATAAAAGCAAATTCCCCGCAAGCCATTTTGATGGCAGACTTTACTAAAACTAGACTGGAAGCTGATCTAATGGTTTTTTATTCTATGTAGAGGTAAATAGGGTTTTCCATTTAATCAGATGAATCTAACAAAAAAAAAAAAAACTAAAGCATTTGATCGCATTTCTCATAACTAAATCAGATCATTATGAGATGCGGCTCGGGAAATTCATAATTAACTTCAAAATGCTGATTCTTGGGGGTCAAGAAGTACAACTTCGGGTTCTGATGCGGCACGAGACAACCTTTCACCATTGATCTTCAATCTCGCACTAGAACCCTTTCTTCGTCATTTGAAAACCCTTAAGGGCCTCCCCCTCAAGTACCAAGGTCTTGAATAGTATTCGGTATCATGTCTTCGCAGATGACGTTCACGTTTACTTGAACAGTTTTCGGGATTATACTCATTGCCGAGCGATGATCCGTCAATTTGAGATAGCTAGCAATAGTCTTCCCAATCCTAACAAATCAAAACTTATTGAGTTTCATTGAAAATATCCGAAATTGACGGTTGATATTCTTCCTTACTTGAAAACATCCATCCACCTGACGGACATGTCGTACCTTGGTCCCCAGATCAAAGGGACTGACTGGACCTCGTTCATTGCAAACTTGCAAAAGTTGAAGAAAAAAATACTCATTCAACACATTTACTCAAATTGCCAAATCACTGGTGGAGAGAGTCGCAAGGCAACGAGCCGATGGAACTCAATGTCATGCTGGCTCCGCTCCACACCTCTTCTCAAAAAAAAAAATTCAGCACTTAAATAGCTTTTTAAAAATTGTTTACCGCACGTACCTCCAAAGGCTACCTGATAGTCGAGATGCCGCCATCTCAAAGAAGCTAAGGAACGTATATATCCGATGACATTAATCTTCACTTCTTTTGCGATGACATGCTAGAGCCTAGTGACGACACAGGGGAACGACTCAGTTCAGGTGTGGTCAAGCGGAGCTAGTCTGGAAGCTGATGAGAGGGTTTTTTCTCTATATAAACTTAACCAACAAAAAAAGACCATAAGCAAATCATAAACAAAAAAAATGGACGAGTCCGGATTCGAACCGGAGACCTTTCGCATGCTAAGCGAACGCGCTACCAACTACGCCACACGCCCTGGAAGAAGTGGTCCCTAGCAGGATCGAACTGCTGATCTTGGCGTTATTAGCACCACGCCTTAACCAACTGGGCCAAGGGACCTACTGTGAAGGAATGAAAGTGCGCGCTGAATATGGAAGAAAAATGTTACCAGGTCACGTGACTAAATATATACAAAATATGCAGGTTTGGTCGACTTTTTATGCACTAGAGTGCTTAGACTTGCAGATTGATAGTGATAGTCTGGAATGAACATGAATGAATATGACTGTCTCTCCTTGAAAAGGCTCAATATAAGTCAAATAAAACGCGAGTTGTAAGCATGATCAGCTTTTCTCCTAGTTGTAAATTAATTATCGTGTAAAAATGGCTGCAAGTGATATTTTGAGGACAGCTCGAAACACAAAATGGAGTAACATGGGATTGAAGAGAGAATTAGCTGTAGAAAAGTGTTGAGGCCAAAAAGCAGGGTCGAAAATATATGGGGAACCGAAAAGAATCACAATCGGCGTCAATTGTGATTTTTGTCGGGGCAAAGAATTTACAATATTGTGCATCAGGTTGAGATTCTATGACAGAAGTGAAAATAGTGTACTCGATCCAGATTGGAGTTCAATGTGTAAAGTGTCGATATCACTTAACTACTCGAACTCGAAAATCAGTCATTGGTTGTGTCACCAAATTAGTCATTTGCCACTGGTGATTTCCAATGTGAGTCATGAGCTAACATATAAGGAGGCACGAAAATTGGATTTAAGAGGTCAATTTTTTTCAAACAGTTCCATTGCCATCAAATCAGCCCTAAAGAGCAATTTCAACCAATGACGGATTCTGGGCTCTTAGTTGCACGTATTGAACGTGCAAAAAACGACGATCTCGTCTTAAGAAGAGAAGCTAGTGAAACGCAGCTAGAAGCATTGAGTCATATACCAGAAAAGAGAGATAGGTGCGAGGATACTGATGACCCTCCTAACGTCAAGAGAGTCAAGGACGATAATGAAGTTGAGTACACAGAAACCCAGACGTTGGTAAATGTGGCTGCTTCTGAAAGCGACGAAGTCAATGAGTCAGATGAAGAGGACGATGAAAGTGGTGATTATTGGAGTGGGGAAGAGGAAGCAGCGTCGGACTGGGATGGAGAGTCGGTCAACGAAGAAGACGAGGAGTCAGAGTTCATCATATAACGGAGCTGGTCTTCGTAGCGGTGAATCTTGAGGAATCGGAGACCAGGGTATACGGAAAGTCAATTGAAACAGGTTTTCAACAGGGTTTTTGTAGGCCAACTGTGTGATAGCCAACAGACGGATAATGTAGTTTGATAAGATATTCTCGGGACAAGCTCTCCACCAATCGTCGAGTTGAATTCGATATATAGCAAAGCTCACTCAATTGAAGCTCCTGGATTGATTCTTCCAGCATCCAATTTTCAGAGGAATTGATCGAAGCATTGTTTAATCAAGCAAACAAACAGAATTCGTCTTCTCTTTCCATAAATGATAAACCTCCATGGTATTATGCTCACAACACATCCTCTTGTATGATACCCAATCTCGACCACACATTCCACTGCCTCTTTAACAAACCAAATAAACCACCTCCACCTCCACTCTCACAATTCCAGCTTTCTCAAAATTCCTACCAACCCAGGAAACCCCGATTCCAAGAAATCGGAGCCACACGAGCAGCTTGTCACCTCGTTTTACCCTCTCCACATGAAACTGTCCTCCACCTCCACGCAACCGCCATACTTGATTAAAAGTGAGGCTTTCTGTACCGCCTCTTTATCTGTGACACAATAGGTTGCAAAGTCAGATAAGAACAATGGCCCGTAGGGTTACAGAGCAATCTGCAAACACAAAGCAGGCAAATCTTATTTTGCATAAGCAGAAAGTTTAACCTCGAAGGTACGAGTCGAGAGCTTAATTTAGTTTTGAGTAAGCTTCCACAGCCGAGTGGTTAAAGTCTAGGGCACGAAGTGGCAGGTACGAAAGCAAGTTTAGAGAATTTTTTTATCGAGCGCCTGCTTCTACAAAGCATCGATAAAACCTTGTTCGAGGAGAGAAGCACACGAGCAAAAGCCAAACTTTAAAGTTTAAGCGGAAATATAAGCGGGAAGCCGCCAATAGGAGAGCTGCTGTAGAACCGCTAGTGGCATTGCTAAAACAAAAAATAGATTCCAATGCAACCTCGTCTATGCTCACCGCCTAAGACCCTGGTACAAAGCACAGACCACAGAGTAATCGGCCGGGCCGCATTGATAATGATGTCAGCGTGGAGGAAAAGACCGCCATGTAAGGAGAAACAAAAGTTTCTCCAGAAGCGCTGTGTTACGGTTTTTACCGCAGGCGAAGCTCAGCGGTTAAAGTTTTTCAGAGGTACGGCTACGGCGAGTTTTCAGGCCAAGTGGCCCGAAAAGGGGACCAAAAAGGGGATTAAAACGGGGACCAAAAGATGGCTGATGGTGGGTTTGAGAGGTGAATTTGCAGCAGAGCTTGTAGTGAATAATGAGAAACTGAATTCTGATTTGATGTGCTTCTGGCAACGTTGACGCCGCCGAAGGAGTCAAATGCATGAATCGGGGCTGGTAGGCAACGCCAAAATAGCTTGCTTTGGCATTTGACCTTCAGACACCGGTGGAGACACTGGCCGACCATGCTTCTGACAGGAGCGGCACCAAAGCAGGTGATGCAAAATGGAAGGGGTGTTTGCGAAAGGCATTTGGTGATTGCTATGTCAGCCTAGCGGTCTGGATGGTCTGGTGGTGTCTAGAAGAGCCGGATATGCTTAATTTGGCTGCAAAATAGGAGGCCACTGATAAGCCGAGATCAAAGTTACCAGATCAAGTAGGCAGATTTGTACATCAACAAAGCCAGATCAACGGGGCCAAAACAAAACAATCGGATCGGCCCATAAGCATTCCACTATGCGGCAAGAAAGACAAGTCTACGTGGAGTATCACCATACAATCGGATGTCGGTCGTCTCCAGATTTCCATATGGAGCAATGGAAAAAACGACTTTACCCGTGCGTGAATAAAGCCGACCGTTAAGGTTTGGCAGGAGCCTGTTTAGAGGCGGAAAAGCTGATAAGAAGTAGAAGTAAGTTTTGGAAATGGTAAAAGAAGGGGAAGAGCACTGCCTACCAGTTGGCCGAGTCGCTGCCGGAACGCTAAAGTTAGGCGAGAGAAAAAGAAAAAAAAAAAAGAAGAATTTCTGAAATCAACGAAAATCAGAAACTTTCAATCAGGTGGTGGAGGTGTTGATGAAAGGGCCCAGTGTAACGTTGCAGAGGCTGGTGTGGCGAATTTTTCAGATCTAGACTGGGCCAGGAGTAGGCGGTTTAGTGCGCGCAGATGCCAATGCGGGAGGGTGCACGGAGCGGCATATAGCGCGTGCGGCGAGGGTGGATACAATGCCGGTATATGCTGAGCGGCGACTACCTGCAGTACCACATATAACCGTTTTGCCCCAACTGTCTCGTGCGATGTTTACAGCCAAAAAAACAAGCGTAGTAGAGGAGGGGCGAGATAATAGGGGCAGGCCAGGGGCAGGGCCGATAGGAGGCTTAGCGGGAGACCTCTGCAGGAGTCCGTAACCAACGCAGCCGAGACGCAGACCAAGCAGCTGCGAGGCAAGTGGGCGGCCGAGTGCAGCAAGAAAATAACCCCAGCTGGGATACCAGCATTCCACATAGGCACTAGCGAACCTAAATGGGGCGGATATTTTGTGCAATAAGGTTTCGGAAATGCACCACAACAAACACCTCAAAGGTGCCATTGACAAGTGGTTCCTGACGATCTGCCCCGTTGGCCCCATTGGGCAATTTGTGGATGCCTCGATGGATGCTTCGTTGGGTGCTTTTGTCGATGGATGCTTATTTTGAAATATCTATTTTGTGGTGCCATGAGTTTGGTGCCATTGGTGCCATTGGTGCAATTGGTGCCATTGAGGGTAGATCAAAAGCACCATTTCACCAATTGTCCAACAACCAATGGCGTTGTGTGAGCATTGTGGATTCTCAGGGTCCTTTGATAGACAAGGCTTGGCCGGGTCCAACAGAACAATCCAAATCGCACATCCAGACGGTGGTCTAGACGAGCATTGTGGGGATTGTTTATTTGGCAGGAATCGGCTTTTTTGTAGATCGGTTTTGTTGATCGGTGTTTTGCCTTGGCTGCGAAAGAGCCGAGGGTGCGGGAGGAGTTCTACCGAAAACGGTTCGATTGGCGAAAAAACGTCAATTTTTTTTAAAGGTACCCCTTTCCACCAACACCTCTGACGTCAAAAACCCACTTGCCTCGTTTTTGGCACTTTGGTTCGCTGGGTCTGAGGCTGTGGAACTCCGAATCTAGACCGCGCGCTGCGGCGGCGGTGTTAGCAGGCTTGGAGGGGCCAAGGGGGCCGGTCCAACGGCAATTGAACAATGCCCAACCGCCCTATTGTAGATCGTGAAAGCAGGGACCCCTGAATCCGTGAACATCGCTTGCGGTCGCTTAGTACTGGGAAACGGTGGTGTCTTCTTTTTTTTTTTCACGGGAAGCTTTTATCCTGCATACAAGCAGCTCGACCCAGCCGAGGCGGCGGTAAGCTCTTGCATTGTGTATGCACGGCCCACGCATGCACAGGGAACCCTGCACAGCTACATGTACACTAGGGCATTGTTCGGGCCTTTTCTGCTGCGGGCTTTCTGCGGGCTGGATGCGGGCTGGACGCGCGCGGACGCGGGCTATGTGCAGGGGCGTATTTATCCAACCACAGCTCTAGGAAAGCCAAACGGCCCACTAGCAGAACGGCCAGATAGACCCCCCCCACTGAATAATGCCTCCCCCCTGGCCGCCTCATAAAAGGCAATGGTGCCCGTGGATTTCCAGCCTCAGTACCGGGCGTCGCACCAGTAGAAGGAATACAGCCACCCCATCAAAAAGCACTTTTTACTCAACCTCCCCCCGCCAAAACCACATTACCAAAATCACAAAGTCCACTTTCGGCGCCAGTTTTCAACCAGGCCCCCCAAGTCCCCATTATCCTGCCATATCTCGCCAGCTCCCCAGCCGGGTTCTGGACCGCCTGCCTAGATTTTCCTGCTTCCTGCCTCAGTAGTCGCTGCGTCCAGGCGCACTCCTGCCTCATCTCCTGCCCACTGCAGCTTATAATCCAACCCAATCCACCGCCGAACGTTTGGACCACTTTTCTTTAGCGGTTGGACGGGCGCCAGGAGTATTGTTTTTGAATTAGTGATACCAGAGGTTACACCGTCTGCAAGTACACACACACGAGACCGTCCAGATATACAGGGTATACAGAGTATCCACCGTCAGACCATCCCAGACCGATTATAGTTATCCAGCTTCAGGTCATCAAAGCGTTACTTCAAAGGAAGCTCCATTCGAATCCATCAACAGCATCGACAGCAAACAGGTCCGATAGCAAATAGCCTCGTCGCTTACTGCCCCGCTGAATCTCCATAGATCCATCCAGGTTAACAGCTCCAGCCTACAACAGCTCCAGCCTACAACAGCTCCAGCTGAAAACACAATCCAGAAAGTGAAACAACCCCCTTTGTGAAACATCCCATGAGCGGCTTGGGCATCGTTCTCGAAGAAGCTGAGAACAGGCCCGCCGAGGCGTTCGGCGAACCGCTCCTACCTCCCCTTCCGAAAGGTGAACCCTTCCTCCGCCTGATTCTGACGTCTTTCGTCTCCCTCAACGACCTGCCCGCCTCCTCCTCCCACAACCACTCGCATCTGGCGCTGACCGACGACGGCCTAGGCGATTTCCTCCTGAACGGCCTGTACGCCTCCTATGAGCTCGATCTGCCCAGTCTCCGAATCGACGCCATGCCGCTACAGTTCCCAGGCGAACAGCTGCTGCCCAGCCAGGTGCCCCCTCTGCCGGCAACGCTGGGCCTGCTGCCGTTGCGCAGACTCAAGTCGTTGAAGAAAGGCATCAGAAAGCTCTCGCTCCTGAAAATCACCAACTCCTCCGACGACAAGAAACCCTTGTTTCTGCCGCTCCAGAGCAGCGAGGTCTCGCTGGTGTCGCTGAACCAGTTGCACTCTGCCCTGAGCGTGGAGTCGTCTCAGAGCCAGCCTTTCCAGGCCCAGCCCATCCAGGTGCAAGCTACGGCGCCAATGGGCCAACACAGCCATAGTAACAGCCAGAGCAACAGCCTCCAGAGCCACGGCCCCAGCGTCAGCAGTGCCGCCACCAGCGGGCCTGCCAGTGTTTCTGACGAGCTTCCTACAAGACGCAGAACGCTTCTGAACCCAATGGGCTCTGTGGCTTCTACACCGCCAGTTCCTTCTCCGGTGATCATGCTCCTGGAGAACCTCACGCTATCGAAGAAGAACCTCAGCGATACCGAGCAGAGCTTTTTCGATAACTTGCAGAGCGACGCCCATCTGGCTTCTCTGCGTGAGGAACGCATCGACAGCATCGACAAGCTCACCACGTCGGACGAGTTGATCGAATACCTGCTCTTCCTCCACGAGCACAAGAAACTGATTGAATCTGCATACGCCGTGACAAAAGATCGGCTCTCCCACCTGGGCTGGTGTCTGTCCAGCGATCTCGAGAACTTGTCTCTCCAGAGAGATCTGTCCTTGAGTCAGATCGACACCAAGCTCCTCAAAATCGAGGAGAGACTCAATCTGCGGTTCAACTTGTCGATGCTCAACAACGCCAGCGTCCAGCCCAAGGTGATGCTGGTGAGAGCCTCCAAAACCCCGTCCATGAGCCCCAGCCTCAAGATGCTTGAATCCAGGTGCTTGTCGTTTGCCATGGAGACGGGGGAGGCATAGATCGGCTTGATCTACAAATTCCCAAAAATAGAGGACCGTTTCCGGTCTGATAGAGTTTACGAAGACAGGCACTTTGGTGCCACATCTGGAAGTTGGTTTTTGCAACTTCTCATGACGGAGGTCTGTCGCCTAAGGCAGATTTCCAGACGGCTTGCATTTTACTTCTGCCTCCGGGCGCTTTACGCATTTGTCAGGGATCTTTCGGCGCTGCTACTGCTGCCGAGGAAAAGTTCAACGTACGAGAAAACGAATTATGTGAATAACTGTTTATAGAGGTGGCCACCTTTAATGGCTGCCAAATACACCCACTTGAGAAGCCCACTGTAGGGCGTGCCATGGCGCTATGCCACGCAACTGAAAAATTAAAACAAAAAAAAACAGTGCAAAATGCACCCAGTGCAGACGATGGGCTGAGTGGTCGTGCGCGGCGCATTGTTTGGTGAAAATACCGCATTGTCTGGCCGACGGGCCAGGTGCCGGACCGCGATCGGGTAGCGATGGCTCCAGTGCCATATGGCGCATGCTGCACGTCTGACATGCGCGGTCAGCGCGGCTTAGCGCTCTATATGCACGATTTATGCCGCCTGAGGACAACACACATCGATATTGGGACACTTGCCAGACTAGAGCTGGCGTCTTGTATGCAGGCATGAAACTTCCCACCCTCCCTTTTCGCAGCCACTTGGGCCCTAGTTTGGCCGAATAGGGATCAAGGGTCAATTGCAACGGCTTAGTAATGGTCTTGAAAAGAGTCAATCTGTGGAATTCTCCTGCACAAGCAACGTTCGAGACCCGGGCCTGCCCCAAATCGCAGTGCTCATGGCCCCAGCGTCGAGCCACACGCACAACGCACACTGTTCAAGACATCCCCTATCGAAAAGCCAGACATAGGGGTGGAGCAAACGGGCAATTGACCATTGAGAATTCCATGAATCCACAAACCCCTGAGGTGCTGAACCAACAGCCATTGGCTGGGGGTAAACGGCTGGACCAGCCTGCAGGCTTAGGCCTAGGCCTCCGAACCAAGACATGGTCCGTATCACATTCATCTAGCTGAGCGTCAAGCCCAATGGAGAACAATACCGGCCATTATGGGAGAAACAAAAACGGAGCAGCCGAGGAGCTCTCAAGCTTGGCCTGTTTCATTTGGAGATTTCCAAAACCTTAATCTTAGATTATCTGCGGTAAGCGACTTGGGGCTTGCACAACGTAGATAAGACCGAGGTCGTTTCACCTGGCAACCGTCCGCATGAAACATGTATCTGTGGCCCTGGAAGACTCGTAAAACCACGCCTATACGGAATTGGCAACCAGAGTTGCCCAAACACGCCGAAAACGATCGAAAAGCCTGACGCAACCTAAAAAGCCATGGTGGCTCAGGTGTAAGACACGCAGACACAGGCCCTGGCTGCACAGCCCGGAAATAGACCACAAAGACGGTTGGAGTTGAAGCTGGGAGTTGGTGGTGTACGGGTGCAACGTCTTAGTGGACTGAAATATTTTTCAGCCTGGGGTGCAGGAACGGAACTGGAGCACTGGCTTACCAATGGCTGGACGCCGCTTTGAGCTGGTTTTGTGTCAGCTTTTAGTTTCAGCCGCTCACTAGCACGATCTAGACCAGCAATGCACAGTGCCACATGAGCCTCAGGGCGTCGGACTATGTGGTGCGGAAAACCACTTGGTTTTGGAGCTTGAGCGGAATGTCCAGGTGTGGATGTCAAATTGTGGATTGGCTGCTGGAAAGGGCTCTAGTTTTGTGATCGAATTTTGATCGAATCTTGATTGGTGGTTTGTAGGTTTGCGGTTGGCCCAAACGGGTAAAGATTCTCTAGAAGGGGATGTCCTTAAGGTGAGAGGTTCAGCATGGTTGAACAAACATGCCCAAGGCGTCCTCTTTGGCATGACCACGACAATGGCACAAGCCGTTTCCTTTGCTCTCACGAGCGGAAATTGTAGACTCAATAGCACAAACGATCTGGATCGTCCATCTCCAGCATTGTTCGTATCGAAGTTGCGTTGTGATCGCCATGCAAGACAAAAGCTGTTGGGACAATGCCACCGATCCGTTCTTCGGCCAATTGTGTGCTTCGAGTTAGTCAAGCTTCAAAGCTTCTCTAGAGCTCGTCTTTGGAGTTCTCCTCGACTGTTCTCCAACCATTAACGCACCAGTTCTCCGGACACGGCAACAAGCTCTCCTCCAGGGTGGCGAATCTCACACAAAAACGCTCTTTTCCGTCGTCCTTGATGAATGAGCTTCGAACAAGGCTCTCATTCCGCTTTTGGGCGGACTCGAAGGCTGCTTGTAGTCCCTCGTCTGTGTATTCACAAACATTCCCAGCGGAACACGGCGTCACCCTGACCACAGCGCCGTCTGCATCGAACTTGACCGTTGTGCCTTCCAGAAACTCGATCAAGTACGCTTTCAGAAGCACCTTGTACGCCACGGTTCCAATGAATCGAACACCGTCAACTATTAAGTCGATTGCGGAATGGAAAGTCTTGTGAATGAAGTCTCTAGATCCGTCACGGACGGTCGGCCAGAGATTGCGTCTTCTGATGACAATTCCTCTCTTGACATCTTCTTTTTCGTCTGCCGTACGGTTGGATAAGCCCTTGACAATGTCGTCGAAACTGTACCAAGCCCAACCTGATGAGATGGTCAAGTTCTCGTCCTTGTAGAAAATGACGCTAGTTATTGGAAACATGTCCTGAAGTGCTCCCCTTGAATGACTGATGTAAAACTCTGAGTCGCTCACTGCAAAGTATTGTCCTTGAGTGGTTCTATGGACCATGTCTTGATGTGTGGTGAAATTGAATTCCACAAGCGTACAGTTGAAAAAGTTATTCGTGTCATCAAATTGGACGAAAAACCCTGCTATCGTAGCCCAAAGGGCCATGAAAGCTATGAGTTGATGCATAAAAAGTGTTGATGTAGTAGTGCGGATGATACAGTACTGATAAGGTAGGTCCGTTCTTGGACGACAGATGTGACAAAATTTGGACAATTGAGTGACATCGAAAATTCAGAAAGAATGTAGAGCTGTGTTGGATTTGGGTGGCAAATGGGCTGTCTGATTAAGGAATGAATCGAAACGTACAAAAGGTCAGACCAAGATATAGTGAGTCTGACTGGGTAGGCTGGGATTGGGTCATTCGTTGCTCAGGTGAAGGAATAAATAGAAATTTGTCCAGACTTTGAGAACCTCCCAGTCCTAGCATTTTCCAAGTCCAACAACAACATATACCTCGTAACATCCAATTTTCAAACCATGGAAACACGTCTAAAAGAGCTTCTGCCAAGACCCCCGATTTTCACACCATTTAGTCGAGAGAATATCACGATCTTCCACTGTTACTGTACCGTTGTAATGCTCCACGGACGAACGATATCCACCCGGGTGTTCATAAGCGATTCTCACAATCCTCGAAGTCTGACCCTCATTCTCATTGACCATGTGGCCAAAAACTTTGTCGGCAAGGATTTGCAGAGCCTCATAGTCACACTCAATACCTGAAGAACAGATGCTGATCATGTAGTTTCCCTCGCTCAGGGCGTAGTCACCGATGTAGCAGATTCTCTTCTCTACCTCCATTATGACGTCCTCGGGCTTCCGTTTTGGCACAGCTTTCTTTCCATTGGATACTTCGGGGTTTATAAGTGAAAACCCACGGATTACTACTTCAGAAGGAGTTGAGCTTTCACTGCCGTTGCGGGTTTCCACAACCAATGCATCTAAATCCAATGGATCGAAAATCAAGCGATCGAATAGGTCACGCGATAGTGCCAATTCTAGCGTTGGCAAATCCTTGGCCATGAAGAACCGGTTACCCTCTAGAAAAGTAACGAGGCCCTGAACCGTATCGTAGACATAACCTCCGGAGATTTCGTCAGAGAGCGTCACGTGGGTGGCATTGAAGTAGTTGTTGGCACTCTTGAACTGAATTTCGAGTGCATAGGAGCTTGCTATTAGAAAAAACGCCAAAAAGAACATGTAGTAATGAGGTGCATTTGTTGATCTTATCAAATGGCTGCGAAACTGGGGCTGATAATGTGGTGCAAGGGTCTTGCCGTTTTAGTTGGTTTCGAAGAAATCGGCAATTCTGGGGGTGATTGAAGGATATTTTTAATAGGATTATGAGGAAGTTTTCGATAGATATGATAATGCTGAGATCGAGGTGTGTAAGTGTATCGCCATAGTGTACGCTCTTGTGGAAGTACACATAGATTCACCGAAAAATTGATAAACCTATCCTCAGAACTTCTTCACAATGAAGTAATCGTTTATTTTGAGTTCAATTGAAATGAAAAGAGCAAAAAGTCAGGTATGTTTATTCTGGGTAGTAGACTCACCATGACTGCGAAATGCTTCTCAGACTGGTATTCAAAGGCCATAGATCAAATGAATCCCAATTGTTTTCCTTAAGAGCTTCATGAGGTACTGTCAGGCGTTCAAAACATATGGTGAATTGATCGACATCAAAAGTCTACAGCAAATAGTCGAGTTACATCGTCAATGACTCTACCCACCTAGTGCATCCAGACATTCAATGCAACGAACATGAACGACATGGGATATGAAGGCAAGCTTCAGTGGTTTGGTAAAGTTGAGAGAAAGAAGACGAACTTCATCGAAAGGAGATGCTGTACCAACCATCGACAATCAATAGTGATTGTGAAGGAATAGGTTCAACACCAGATGATCCTACAAACAAATAGCAGCACAAATGCAGCAACTTTCCTGCTTTTCCAACAAGTATTAACACCTTCAAAGAAGTATTCACACCTCCAAGCAAAAAGCAAAACCCAAATCTTCCAAATCAGCCCAAGATGAGAATGTGCCGAAAACGCAGAATCCACGGGCGCCAGAGGACGCCGCGGTATGAGACGTAGTTCGTGTCCCGGTGTTACCCGGGTTACTCTAGCTACTCTTTCCCCTCCAGTCGCCCATTGGTGTAGGCGGTGCAGTGAATGAGCAGCATCTCGTTGAAGTTTGAAGAGAGCAGAATTTTCTGCTTATATAGTGGTTTGGTCACGTGGACGAAGTCACGTGAACGAAAGTTGTTGGAGCACTTTTGCCGGGCACCACGCCCTAGTTTGTAGGTGGTTCTAGCTTAGACGTATTTGTGACTCAAAGGTGTACTGTTTAATAAAATTTGTAGTCCATTGGGGTATTTTTTGTTAAGGGGGCCGTGTGCCCTAAGTGAACACTCTTGTTGCCTATGCAGTCTGCATCAATTTCCCACAAGACCATCTTTTCGAAATACACGTCTTGATCGAGGAAGGTGATTGAAATAAAGAAAATCTCGGATGTCCAAATCCGATTCTGTAATGGGATTCCATGGACATTCCATAGTCGTTTGGTGGGATTTGAACGAACATGCAGGCCACACGGCTGGACCCTACTCCATCTAGTTCCTTCAAACGATATGGTGGTAATTTTGTAATCGTATAAGACTATAACAATGTTAGTGGCTTGAATAGAACGACTGTCTAAACACCAAATCTTGCAACCCAATGACGCTGCCTATACGATATAGGCTGAGCAACTGTGCCATAGAAATAACCTTTTCCTTCAAGCTTCTCCAACCAAAACATTTTTTTTTTTCTCCTCCTGACTCAGAAAGCTAAATTGACCAAACTTTCAAAAAACTCCTTCTCAATAATACCTTCCCCGCCTCCTCTTCACCTCAAAATATCGCCTCCACCACCAGCCTAAGCCACACTACAACTCCATCGTAAGACAAACCAGAAACCGAATTTCCGTTCCGCAAACATAGCCCCTCGGCTAACAAGCACAATTCTGCGTTTCTCCAGTCGCCTCCGCTCTCACATGTCTATAAAATCTGGCCTTATCCCCCTTGAACATTGGCTGATGGTTATCCCCGCCGGCTTTATCAGCCTGCTCTACATCTTGTACTTTCCTAACCTAATGCAAAAGCTTGCCTGTGAATATTGTGAACCTAGCCTGGTAGCCTGCCAATACTGGGAAGCCTGTGAAAAGTATATCCAGCCTTTGCCTATACTGTCTGTATACGGCTGCAAACGAGACAACCTGCCCATAATGGCATCCCACATCGGCCCACCCCGGATTCCGTTTCTCTCCGAAGGTCAACCTGACGGTGCTGGTGCAAATCCCAATAATACCCATGACCTGCCAGCCCGAAGCCTACAAATTATCAAATTACAGCCTCCCCGGTGTCCATGTGACGTTGTGGTGATGGAGGCGCTGAGGCAGGAAATTGGACCACTCGCGCTGCCCTGTTTGTTCCGATACTCGGGACACACAAGCAGCGGGTTATCCACGCCCACAAGCGTCCCACCGCCAAACCCTTCAAATCTCGCCCCAAAACCGACGTCTGCGGTTCCAACCGTGCCCTTCTTATATGGATCTTGCCCCTGGCGGAGCCGTACGGCTAGATCCGGATGGCTGCGAAAAGTGGCCTGAGCTGCATGGCAGCATACCTGCCTGACCCGTTTTGCAACCATCATCCGACAAGAGCAACGACAACGCTACAGCGCCAGCCGGTTTCTTCCATGGGCTTATATATGCCAAGAGCGCTGAGTTTTTTCCAAATCCAATGACTCTTGAACTTCTACCTTTGATTGACGACGTACCTGCCCTGGTACCGCTCAGACACAACCCCGACTTCCGTCTCGACGGGTTTGCCATCAACGACACGCTACGGTTTGTCCGTAAAATCGGCGCCGGCACCTATGGCCTTATCTACTTGGTGGAGAACATCGAAACAGGCGCCCGGTACGCCGCCAAAATGGTGATGACCGATCCTCCGGTGAAAAACGGTGGACGCATCGATGTTGATGAAAACAAGAAACACATCCAGCGCCGGATGTACGAGTACTTTTTCCGGGGTGCTCGCGGCGTCGTGGAGCTCGACTTGGCCGTGGTGGCCCACGACGGCGCCAGATGCCCGTTTTTGAAAGAAATCGCTCTTCACCTCAGAGTGAGTAACCACCCCAATGTGGTGACGATACACAAGGTGCTTAATTTGGGCCGGGTGGCGGTGATGACGCTTATGGACTACTTCCCCGAGGGGGACCTTTTCGGCAATATCATCGACAACAAGTTGTTTTTGGAGCCTCCCGCCTGGCAGGACAAGCAGAAGCTCATGAAAAACTGTATGCTCCAGTTGATCGATGTGGTGAGCCACTGCGAGGCCCGGGGGGTCTACCACTGTGATTTAAAGCCGGAAAACGTCATGATCCGCTACAACAGGCGCTACAAAAGACCCCACGACGGTCCCTTGATCGACTACAACGAGCTTCAGATCGCCCTTATAGATTTCGGCCTTGCCATTACTTCAGACACAATTTGCTGCAACGCCTGCCGGGGACTGAGCTTCTACATGGCTCCGGAAAGAATCGTGAACTTTAACACCAGCAGCTTGATCAAATCGCTTGTGGACATGAGACAGTACCCTACTGTGGAAAACGCTACACTGGCATCTGGAGCCAAAATGTTTCCAACGTTGGCCGGCGACATTTGGCTGCTTGGCGTGCTATTTATCAACATAACGTGTGCCCGGAACCCGTGGCCCATAGCCAACATCAATGACCAGAACGACGTTTTCGGAACGTACATTCTTCAGAACAGAGACATATTGGCTCTGATCTTGCCCATTCTGCACCGTTTTAACCGTCTTTTGGACGAGATTTTCCGCCTCAGCCCGAACGAGCGGCTTCTGCTTCCTGAGCTTTACGGCAAGATCGCCACGATTGATTTTTTCTCTGACGATGTGGTGGAGCCGGAAAAAAACGCCAATCTGGTGGTCTACAACCCGCAGCTCCTGACTCCCCCGTACACTGACACAGACTACATGGCGCTGACGCCGGAATATTTCAAGCAGCGGGGCGGAGGAGTCCGTAGTGGGGCGTAGAATTAGGGGCTAAAAGGCGATTTTACGGTTTTTTTTTTTGGAAGGCAGGCCGGCGCGGAAAAACCTGGCTGGACCGGAACAACCTTGCATCGAGGCCATGCGGCGGCTCTGCAGACGGGCAACCCGCAACACAAAACCCCAGACTACCTGCAAGTTTGCGGTGTCTCGAACAGGCTCGACACGTAATGGGTGCATTCACGGATGGCAGGAAAATTTTCCCGGCCAAGCGGGGAAAAAAAGCTTTTTGCGTTTTCTCGCCAAGGCCCGGATAAACTCCAACGGCAATTTGACAGGGTTGAACAATGGAAACTAAATTTTATGCAAGCGGCCTCCTGGCCGTTTGGCAGCAACAACTTATGAGGGGTTAATCCGGACATGGGGAAGCGGCGCGCTGGGGCGAAATGGCTTAGCATGCAGCAGCGGCAGCACCCCGCCAGAAGAAAGAACCGCACGAAAAGGAAAAATTAATTAATGTATGAGAGCCACCGGGGCTCGGATAATTTCACTGGAGAGGATCTACCATGGGATTTAATAGACTAATACGGGATTTACTGATTTAGATGTAGATTTAGCCTTTGGCCAACATTCACATGGTGGCTTACAAAGAAGTCGTTTCGACACGGTCTACGTAACACAAAGAGTAGGTTCAAGCAGGATCAGCACGGTTCTTCTAGAGCTCCAACAAAGCTCGTTGAAGGTGCGGCATTTTCTGACAAGACCACCTTAAAATAGGCTATTCAATAAACCTTTTTCCGTTGAATAACGGCTTCTCCTGGTAACAAAACTCTCGGAACATCTCATTTGTCAGCAACACGACTTAACCCCAAGTGGCCCGGCTCCTCGGCTTTACACACTGTCGCTGCCGCCCCACTAAAAAGTTTTTCCACCACCCCGGCTCTCCACAAATTAGCCCCAGTATTTTCTACAAATCACGCATAATGCCTTCTTTACAAACGGCGCCGGTTTCTCGGCGCTCGGTTAAAAAGCCGAATGAAGCAGTCCTGGATTAACTTGGTGGGGAGATGTGTACGTCACACGGAAGGAGCACGCCCAAAGAGGAAAGGGCGGAAGCATGCCTGGGTATTGTTCCGCCGGGGCCTTGTTTATGTCGGGCGCCAACCTCAAAAAATAAAAGTTTTTCCAGCCCGACATTTATTACACTTGTTTTCTAAAAGTAGTTTTCCTCCCTTAAGGCTTGTTTATCCGAAGGGTCCAGCCATTCTCGAAGCGGGCTGTACTCCAGATTCGGATGCACCCCGCCTCACAAAAGTACGAAGCTGGTTCGAGCGCCGCAAGCCCGATTGCTACGACATCCTGAAACAGTGTGCCGCGCCGGAGAAATTACGAGAGCTGCATGTTGACGACAACAGACACATTTGGCGATTTTCCCTCGAGGGGCACAAGAAAATTTCTTGTCTGCCTTTTTTCTTGTCCGGAAAAACTTTGATCCGCTTTGACAGAAACCTGACAAACTTTGGTCATGACGGGCTCCTGCTCCCGGAATTCCCTAATTTACTCCACACTGTCAACACCTGCTGCATTATGGATCACGTCTCGTTTGCATGCCGTGCGTGCCAGCATAGGCCCGGCGCACCCGGGAACAACTATTTGTCATTTTGGGTCAGGTCACTTGCTGTACGGACTGCAGACAGTGACATCACTGCTGCTCTCCAGCTCTTTTCATGCACCTCTCCGCGACGCATACCTGCCAAAGCGTTCCAGCTCCCCACACGGAGAAACTGGCTGAGACGAAACCAGAAAACTATAAATACAGACTAGATCCCCAGCTTTTCTTCTCCATCATAACACAAAAATTCACCATGGGTTTCTCCAAATATGAAGACAAAATGGTCAAGCCAGCCTTGGCCTTCAGAAACTTCCTCGATCACACGCCTAACATCACCAACATCTACTTCATTGCCTGTATTTCTTGTATCTCGGGTATGATGTTTGGTTTTGATATTTCCTCCATGTCCGCCTTTTTGAGTCAGGACTCTTACCTCCGGTTCTTCGACAGCCCCAGCTCCGATATGCAAGGTTTCATCACCGCTGCCATGTCTCTTGGTTCCTTCTTTGGTTCCATGCTTACATCCTTCATTTCCGAGCCCTTTGGCCGTAGAGCCTCGCTTATGCTGTGTGCCTGGTTGTGGATGATTGGCGCTGCTATCCAGTCTTCTTCGCAAAACAGAGCTCAGTTGATTATTGGCCGTTTTATTTCTGGTGTGGGTGTTGGTTTCGGTTCTTCTGTTGCTCCAGTTTACGGTTCCGAATTGGCTCCTAGAAAAGTCAGAGGTTTCATTGGCGGTATGTTCCAGACCAGTGTCACCTTGGGTATCATGGTGATGTTCTACATTTCCTTCGGTTTGAGTCACATCGACGGTGTGGCTTCTTTCAGAATCGCCTGGGCCATCCAGATTGTTCCTGGTTTGTTGTTGGCCATTGGTCTTTTCTTCATTCCCGAGTCTCCTAGATGGTTGGCCAAGCAGGGCTACTGGGACGATGCCGAAAAGATTGTCGCTGAGATCAACGCCAAGGGTGACCGTGAAAGCGCCGATGTCCAGATTGAAATCTCCGAAATCAAGGAGCAGTTGCTTGTGGAGGAAAACGTCAAGGCCTTCACTTTCGCCAACTTGTTTTCCAAGAAGTACCTCCCCAGAACCATCACCGCCGTCAGCGCCCAGATCTGGCAGCAGTTCACCGGTATCAACGTCATGATGTACTACATTGTGTACATTTTCGAGATGGCCGGTATTTCCGACAACGCCAACTTGGTCTCCTCCTCCATCCAGTACGTCTTGAACTTTGCTTGTACCGTTATCGCTCTTTTCCTTATGGACAAGATCGGTAGAAGACCCTTGTTGCTTGGAGGTGCTGTGATGATGACCATCTGGCAGTTCTCTGTGGCTGGTATTCTTGGAAACTACTCTGTCCCATACCCCGACTCTGGTTCCACCTCGGTCACCATCAGAATTCCAGACGACCAGAAGGCCGCTGCCAACGGAGTTATCGCTTCTTGTTACTTGTTTGTTTGTTCTTTTGCCATGTCCTGGGGTGTGGTTACCTGGGTCTACTGTTCTGAGATGTGGGGTGACTCTGTTTCCAGACAGAGAGGTGCTGCTTTGGCCACTGCTTGCAACTGGATTTTCAACTTTGCCATTGCCATGTTCACGCCTCCTTCTTTCGCCAACATCAACTGGAGAACCTACATTATTTACGCTGCTTGCTGTGTGGCCATGTTCTTCCAGGTGTTCTTCTTCTTCCCTGAAACCAAGGGCAAGCGTTTGGAGGAGATTGACCAGATCTGGATCGAAAAGGTGCCAGCCTGGAAGACCGGCTCGTGGAAGCCTGCTGTTCCTATTTTGTCTGACGCCGAGTTGGGCGACAAGATCAGAACACAGCATGCTGAAAACGACCTGGGGTTGCTTAATAGCACGGCGTCGGCTTCTGAGAAGGATGCCGTTGACCACAGGGAGAACAACGATGCTGCTGACAGGGTTTAGATAATGGGTTACGTATAATGACAATACAGAAAAGATAGAGAGGGTTGTAGCGGGGGTGTTCTCCAGTAGGTTACGTATAATGACAATACAGAGAAGATAGAGACGGTTGTAGAGGGTGTTGGGCTCTTTGACGCTCAAGATACATTAAGCCAATGTGGAATACATGTATTTTTTTTATAAGTCCTTCTAGTTCGTGGTCTGTTGTTTGCATAGAGAGAGTCTGAGTGTTGCTGCTCAAGATAGGTTAAGCCAATATGAAATATAATTTTATTTCTATGCCTTCTCGTTCGTTATCCGTAATTTGGTACGTCCGTAAATTACCGATTATTCTGACCAATCCAATCACCTCGTTAACCCAAAAGAAATCTTCATTCTAACGAACCTCTATGCTAATTACAGGATGATCCGGTCGTGCTTCCAGATGCCATCGGTGGCCTTAGGAAGCCTGATGCCGTCCTCGGTGACCTCCCGCTTAGCCAACTCGGCGAAAACCTGCGAAATCGGATCGGGGTACCATCTTCTGTGCTGAAGGTTGAACCAACCCAAATGACCGCCAATGGACGTCGTCACCATGAACGTGTAGGGGTTGAGTTTGACCTCGGAGTGAGGCAAGGAGCTGCTTCCCACCACAGGATCGTCCTCAGAGCTCACAATCAAAGTAGGTACTCTGACGTTCAAAAGACGCTGGTCTGGAGATGCGTGTCTGTAGTACTCTGAAGCACAGTTGAAGCCAAACAACTTGGACGTGAAGTTATCGTCAAAGTCCTTGAGCAACTTGAGCTCGAACGACTCAGGGTGCTTCTTGTAGTCCTCCACGATCTGGTCAAACTCGAGATTCTCGGTGTCCAGGTGCATTTTGAGCAACTTGGTCAAATTACGACACATGGTGGGCGAGTAGACCTTAGCGCCGACATACGACTCCACAAGCGCATGCGAGGCGACCTGGAAGTCCCATGGAGCGCCCACCACAGCGGCTCCCTTGATGTTCTTGTACACATCCTTGCCTTCTTGACCTAGGTAGTTGGCGGTGATGGCTCCACCGAGCGAAAAGCCAATAAGAAAGATCTTTTTGTTAGGCCAGAGCTTGCTGATGTGCTCGTTGGTCAAATACCGCAAGTCGTTGGTCCACAAACCGCAGAAAAGCTGGGGTGAGGTGATGGTATGGTTAGCACAGCCTCTTGCATTGAGCACCAAACCGTCGAAATCGTACTCCTTGGTGATCTTGTCTAGGAATGCACGGATGTAGGACTCGTAGGAGCCGCCACTGAGGCCGTGAAGCGCCACAACCAACGGCTTTTCGTTATCCAACAAGGCCTGTTCTTTTTCCGGATTCAAGTACTCCGTTCTTGGCGGGAGGTCCCTCACCTGGGACTCGGGCTTGTAATTGAGATGTTCTGGGTCCGTGCCTTCTGGAACCACGTAGTCCACAGCAAAGGTGCTCTTACCCTCCCAGCGGTCATAAGGCATCTTGTCGCCATTGACGTAGTAGTGCTTGTTGACCGAGTCCACCGTGAGCACTCTTCTTTTGTAGTGCACCAAATCGACCTTTTCAAACTTGTTCAAGGCTGTGTAGGCGGTCTGGGAATGGCCACTGGAAAGAAGTGGGTTGACGTAAAACGAGGCGCCGTTTTTGAATTCTGGAGCAACGTCGTTGACGATCTCGGCGATGGTTTTCGGACCACCGGATCCAGAGAAACGGAGGGGCTGTTTTGGCTGGTGTGTGGAAACCACCGATCTGAAGAACCCTGAAGCCATGGAAAGAAGTTGGTGATGGTGTAGGAGATTGTTCGGACTGCGCTGCACAGATCCTCGGTAGGAGAAATAGCCGCTGTGCCGAGGGGGAGTTGCTGCGGGAAAATGTGGAAATATGGGGGTGTGAAGGAAGGGTTTTTGGAGGTTTGGGGATTTTTGGATTTTTGGAAATTGTCGTTTTTGGTGGAAAATGGTGGGGCTTAGTGGGGCTTTCTGGAGATAAGGTGACGGGTTACTGTGCAGGCAGATGTAGGAGATACCGGTTTTGATACAATTGGGGTGGGCTATGGTGGGATTGGCGATGAATTGATGATTTTGGGGTTCAGAGATTTGGATTATTTGTCCGTTCTTGAAATGCAGAGGTATTTGGTTATGAGCGTGGGAATGTGTCAGGAGATCTTCTGGTTTATTGACGTGAACGAACATGAAGAAATAAACTTTAGCTTTTCTTTCTCTTCTTTGAGTTTTTCAGAACTTCCCCAGGTACATATTTTTATCAAGTAAAACCACCCCGGTATCATCAAAAATCGCCAGTGCATCCTCAGTCGGAGTATCCGTCAAGTATCCATCTTTCGCAGCCATTCCAACAACACTCTGAATCCCTGAAACTCCTGAAAACTCGTTCGATCTTTTCAATATCACCTCTTCCAACGCTACACCGCTACACGGCTCTCACTGTAACGTGCATTCGTAATAAATATACAATTAATCAAGCTTCTAGCATTGAACTCTACTGGGTACCACCCCGTCTGTGCCAGCACAGCCTACAATCTGTAGGTAAAGTAAGGGCTCTTGTCGCCCATTTTTAGAATTTGCTCCTCGGTGTGATTGTCGTACTCTCCAGCTTCAAGGGCAATTCTTCTCTTTTTGTTGGCATAGCTGTAGCTGAGAACTGCAACAACCATACCGGCAGCTCCAAGGCAAACAAACGCCAAGGTCAACGCATGGCCTAGAACGTAACGAGGGGCGTCTTGTTCACGGTAAAAGTTGGACACAAAAGCACCTCCGTAGTTGGCAAGACCGATTTGAAAACCGATTCCAATGGCTCTTTTGTAGGAACCTGAAAGATTGTTAGCGTTCCACACAATCGACAACGGAATGGCAGGGTACATGCCCAAACCGATGATATAAATTGCAGCGTAAATGCCGTCTGGGTTGACTCTAGGATCAAGGCAGATGCACACAATGAACCCGATGATCATGCACAAGTAGTTAAGCGACAAAAACGGCGATCTGAGTCCAGATTTGTCGGAAATGTAGCCCTGGAGAATACTCCACACCGAGCTGACAATGTAGATCGGCACCGTCATCAACTGGGCTCTCACCGAAGTGTAGCCGAGGTTTTTGACAATGGTGGGCATGAAAAGCGAAAGTCCGTATGTGGGAAGAGCCACACCCAAATATGAAAAAAGCTGGGCCCAGCAGTTGATATCCTTGAAAACGGCCCAGATGAAGGATTTGTCGCTGGACTGGTCCTCGCCTTTTGGAGCGTCTGGGTGGAGTTTATCCTGGTTGGTGGAATGGTGAACGTTCCAAAGCACGTATTCTCGTTCTCTTTCGGTCAAAAACGACGCATCCTTGGGGTATTTGGGGAACCACCAGAACGAGGCGACGCCAAAGACAAAAGTAAGCAAACCTTCAAGAATAAAGATCCATCTCCAGCCCTCGTAGCCGCCCACGCCGTCCATATTGGAAATAGCAGCCGCCAAAAGTCCAGAAAAGGCACCAGCAGCAGAAGCAGCAGAAACGAAAATGGCCTGGCGCAAAAGAAGCTCGTTTTTGCGGTAGTACATCGACAACATGTACGAGATACCGGGGAAAAGCGCCGCTTCAAAGAAGCCCAAAAGGGCCCTGGTTGCCATCAACTGAGCGTAGTTCTGAACTGTGCCCATAAGCGTCATGACGGTTGCAAAAAGAACCACGGTAAGCGGCACGAAAATGTTCGGCTTGGACCGTTTCAAGATCATGTTCAGCGGCACCTCCATCGTGGCGTAAAAAATGAAGAAAATCGTGAGACAGAGGTTGTACTGGTTGCCCTCCAAGTTCAAATCCTCTGCCAAACCCTCGATCTTAGCATTTCCAATGTTTCCTCTGTCGAGGAAGCTTAGGAGGAACAACACGGTGAAGATCGGGAGGAGTCGAAGATCGATCTTTCTTGTGATCTTCTTGCGGTCGATGTCATCGAAGGTGTCTTGTAAAAGAGAGTTATCCGAGTCTGGGGACTCTGAGTACTCGAGGTTGGCTTTTTCTTTCTCGGACATGGTTGGAAATTTTTCACATCTACAGCGGATCGCAGCTTTATAAAGCCTGAGTCACCGATCCTGATCCCACATCCGCTTGCAGGAGAACAGCCTATGAAAAGGCTGCTTAAAGGGTTAGTCCTTCATGGGAACGAGAGACTTTTCGCCTGCGCGGGGTTTGACGTGGGGCTCTGCCGGTACCGGCTTCCGCAAAACAAGGGCTATTCTCCGAGTGCCTTTTGACCAGGCTTAGGCGGACTTTTCTGATTTAAACGTTTAGTTTGTGGGTTGGAGAGAGAGGAAGTTTACGGCGTACGATAGGGTCCAAAACCCGTTCATTGTTTGTGGTACCGAATTATACAGAAACGGAATGCCCCGCCCTGTCTTGCACGTTCATTCGGCACAATAGCAGCCGACCTGACATTGTTTTATTATCTGACTGGGGCGGTGGATCCTGCTGTTTTTTGCCCCCAAGATCGTACTATTTTTTCATTTTCGTGGTGCTTAACCGCACGACGTCCGGAACCGGGATGAGTCAGGCGCCTTATCGCAATAGCACTAGCGCCGTTTTACTTGCTCGTGTGAGTTTTTCACGAGGTTCCTGGATTCTGACTCCCGCCAAGGAAAAAAAGCAGAATCTTACGAGAATTACGTTTCGCTTATTTTGTCTTCTTTTTCTTTTTTGTCGTGTCGGGATTTATGAGTCTGTGGAACGTTGCTGTGTGTTATTCCGTCTTTTCGCAGCCGCAAGCGGCTGGACCGGAGAATCTTGATTCCACGAGAGATTATGCAATCTGCTGACTCCTCCAAACCTTGTTGGGCACGAAGAATGCAAAACAGCGTATTTTGGCGATTTTAAGATGGTTTTGAATTATGGAGTTTTGGGTGAATTAGGCGTCAGTGTAACTCCAGCCGTAGCCGCATGACAATCCAGGAACATGACATATTAACGAAATACTCCCCCTGTTGTCTAAAGCACTTCAAGCATTTTTCTCAAAAAGGTCTAAAACGTCATTTTCTACAAGTACTGTCATTTCCCCATCCTATACTGTTTTATCTACACTCCCTTCCATTCCTCGTCTATTCATGACTACAATCTGTACCTGAAGTACGGGTTCTTGTCGCCCATGCCAAGAAGCTCCTCGTCGGTAAAACCGTCCAACTCTCCCAGCTCGATCATCTTCTCCTTCTTGCGGTTGCTCAATTTGTAGTTGATAATACCGCACGCCAAAGCCACTCCACCTAACCCAATAAAGCCAAGCGTCAAGCCGTGTCCTAGAACGTAACGAGGGCTATCCTGCTCACGGTAAAAGTTGGACACAAAAGCACCTCCGTAGTTAGCAAGACCGATTTGAAAACCGATTCCAATGGCTCTTTTGTACGATCCAGACAAGTTATTGGCATTCCACACAATCGATAGAGGAATGGCTGGGTACATGCCCATGGCACAAATATAGATGGCGGCGTAGATTCCACTAGGGTTGACCCGGGGATCTAGCGCAATGCAAACGACAAATCCAATGATCATGCATGTGTAGTTGAATATCAAGAAAGGCGATCTGAGCCCAGACCAGTCTGAAATAAACGCCTGAACAATACTCAAAAACGCCGCCACCACGTAGATCGGAACACTGAGCAACTGGGCCTTGGTGGCGGTGTAGCCGAGGTTTTTGATGATGGTGGGGGTGAAAAGCGAAATGCCGTAGAGTGGGAGCAAAATGCCCAAGTATGAAAAAAGCTGGAACCAGCAGTTGGGGTCTTTGAAAACGCCCCACAAGAACTTCCTGTCGCTTGAAGTGTCCTCGCCTTTGGGTGCATTGGGGTGTGCTGACGTCTGGTTGGTCAGGTGGTGGACATTCCAGAGAACGTACTCTCTTTCTCTTTCAGTAAGGAAAGTAGCGTTTTTGGGGTACTTGGGGAACCACCAGAAGGACGCCACGCCGAAAAGAAACGTGAGCAATCCCTCGAGAATGAAAATCCACCGCCATCCTTCGTAACCTCCCACTCCGTCCATCTGAGAAATGGCAGCAGCCAAAAGACCCGAAAATGCACCCGCCATGGACGCTGCCGAGAAGAAAATGGCCTGGCGAACAAGCAACTCGTTTTTCCGGTAGTACATGGACAAAATGTACGAGATTCCAGGAAACAAACTGGACTCGAAAAGCCCCAAAAGCGCCCTGGTGGCCATCAATTGAGCAAAGTTTTGCACGGTCCCCATAAGCGTCATGACTGTGGCGAAAAGAACCACCGTGAGCGGCACGAAAACGTCTGGTTTCCAGCGTTTCAAGATCATGTTGGAGGGCACCTCGGCGGAGGCGTAGAAAATGAAGAAAATCGTCAAACACAAGTTGTACTGGTTGCCGACCAAGTTCAAGTCTTCAGCAAGGCCCTCGATTTTGGCATTTCCGATGTTGCCTCTGTCGAGAAAACTTAGGAGGTAAAGAATCGTAAAAATGGGAAGAAGCCGGAGGTCAATTTTTCTGGTGACCTTTTTCCGATCAATGTCAGCGAAAAGATCCTCATCGGATTCCGTGGAGACCTGGGACTCGAAAGGCTCAAGCTTTGGTTTTTCGTCAAGCGACATTTATGCCAAAAAAGCTGTGCAATTCCGGCAGCATTGCTGTTTATAAGTCCGGGTTTGCAAATGGAGGGGCAGCCTATTCCCAATTTGCAGCCATTTACACGCACCACTTTTGGTTTTTTAGGGGCCACACAGTGTTTCCGGCAGATCCCCCACAAAATAATATGCGCCTACTCCACTTTCGCGGGGTACCAGCATCAAGCCACTCACACTGCAAAAGACGAAATACTGACGATTTTGAGGAAATTGACCTTTTTTTAAAAAAACTCACATAATGCAAGGCCGCTTCCAGGCGCTTGACGGGGATATACGACCGGGCTTGGCTCTTTGTGGAGCGCTTTGTTGGAGATCTCCGGGACAAGAGGCATTTCTTGACACCTGGACGGCCCCGCCTCCACCTTCCTTGGCGGATTGCTACCAAGGCGAAATGGGAGGATTGTCGGCCCCTGAGGTGCTTTTGAATTTGACAAATTTTCTGGAATTGGAAGGAGGAGCCCATATAGTGTAAGCCCAACGGCTGAATGGTAGAGGCAAGTATAGCCCAGTGGCATGGAACAAGGGCATGGAACAAGGGCATGGAACAAGGGCATTGTTCTGGTCCAAGCGGCGTTACTAGAGATAAGCAGCGATGGCGTTTTTAGCTTTTTTTACAGATTGCAAAATTGTGGTCTTTTTTTTTCTTTTCTTCATCACCTTCTCTATATACGGCAGGCCTACAATCTGTAGACAAAGTATGGACTCTTGTCACCCATCTTGAGAAGCTCCTCATCAGACATCCCATCAACCTCGCCACTCTCAATAACCTTCTTCTTCTTGGCATTGCTCCATCTGAGATTCAAGATACCCAAAACCAAGGAGATGGCACCAAGGCCAATAAAGCCGAGAACAAGGCCGTGTCCAAACACATAACGAGGACTGTCCTGGTCACGGTAGAAGTTGGAAACAAACGCACCACTGAAGTTGGCCATGCCGATCTGGAACGCAATACCAATGGCTCTCTTGTACGTGCCCGACAAGTTGTTGGAGTTCCACACAATGGAAACAGAAGTAGCAGGATACATGCCAGCAGCAGCAATGTAGATACCGACATAGATGCCGGGATGTCTGGGTTTATTAGGGATGTCTGGGTTTATTTCTTAGGGATGTCTGGGTTTATCTCTTAGGGATGTCTGGGTTTATCTTAGGGATGTCTGGGTTTTAGGGTTTATTAGGGATGTCTGGGTTTTTTCTTAGGGATGTCTGGGTTTTAGGGATGTCTGGGTTTATCTTAGGGATGTCTGGGTTTTTTCTTAGGGATGTCTGGGTTTTTTCTTAGGGATGTCTGGGTTTTTTTTCTTAGGGATGTCTGGTTTTTTCTTAGGGATGTCTGGGTTTTTTTCT